ATATATATATATATATTCCAATTCCTTTGAATAGAAGTGCTCTTTAGCTCCATTCGAGTTGCTAACAGTTTTTTTGACTAATTTGGTATTTCCATTCAAATTGTGTGTTGAAGGCACATTATTGCACTGTTGTTATTTAATTAACTCCAATTGAATTAAGCGTGTTTTTTTCTTTCATTTGATACTCCACGTGCTTGCTTAAACTCGGTAGGTACTTTTTCCGCCTTCATAGTTGTTTTTCTTTTAGATTAGATTTGATTTGATTTGATACGGGTAGAGGTGATGCCACGTGTCGTAGTTGGCTAAAATGTTTCAACATTCTTCACAATGCATGCACATGTGTGGTAACTGTGACTATCTCATCTTTGGCTATCTGTGCGCTTTTTTTTTATTTCAACGCTGGTTCTATCTCTTTTAGTGGTTAGTCTGTCTATCGAAGTAGACGCGATTGATTATCGATTGTGAAAGTGATGAGGACTTGGAATTGGTTGGGCATGCATCACAACTACTTCACTTGGCTCTAGTGAACGTTCCAGCGACTCTTCCAGATCTTGGAGTTTGATAAGCTGGTGGGGGGGGGGGAGCTGATTGGCAATGACACCCTCATTCTATTTCATGATGAAATCCACTATCTTGAGTACTATCCGCGCCTACAGTACTTTAATGATCTTGAATTGTCAGCTCCAGAAAGAGGTGAACTGCGTACTTTTTGCTAACATATTGCATATTTTTTCATGTAAGATGCTGGAAACAAATGTTCCCCCCACATTACTGTATTTCTGTGGCAACTAATTTACAACTCGGTGGAGTGTTTGGAAGATTCTATGTCACCTAAGAATGTTTTTCTCTGAGTTGATGAAGTCTAGGGGTGACCGCACTTCATGACACAATAGTCCCATATGAGGCGTGGTTTCACTTTCAATTGATTGCTTATCGTGGTGAAATTGCTGCTACGTTGCGTTCTAATCGTCTTTTTGTTCTACGGAAGCCCTGAATCCTGGTGCCTCAGGGGAACACTAATTCTGTTTGGGATGCATAGCTACCAAAGCTGATCTAGGCAATTCCATGTGCGCTAGAATATTCTACTAATCAAACAGTGATCAAGTGTATGCTATACACCGTAATGTTGCTTGTATTGAATGGCCAATTATGTAGACGGTTTTAAGACATATTCCTTCGTTTATCCGCATATCTCTCTCTCTCTCCCTCTTTGGTCGTTCGATTCTTCATCGTGGTCTGTTCTAGACGTGTTGACCCACACAACTCATTTCTCTCCATGTCTTGAAACCGCGGTTTGCTGTCGTCAGTTTTTTTAGTTTTAGCTTCGGTTTCTACAACCTGTTTCTGGTTCGCTACATAATAATTTAAGGTCTTATAATATTAATATGGTACTCACGTTTTAATATTTTATTACCTAAATGCTTTCATGAGCTCACCTCCCGTTGTTTGGCATCTTTTTTGTTGTTGTCTAAACTTGGTCATTCCAGCAGGTGTGCGCTTCTTCTGCAAATGGATTAATTCGAACGATACTGGGTAATGTGAGGTCAAGAAAACAACAAGTGAATGCAAGCCTACACTCTTCCAAGCAACCACTTAATGCAATTATCGGTCGTTGTGCAGAGCTAAGCTTCAACTAGACGCCCAGCCAATTTTTCAAGGGGTGGAGGTTTTAAGAGAAAAAAAAATAATCGATTATGTAGATATCTTGGCTTCATTTCCATAAATGAGCCCCTTTTTTTCTTAGTCTGATCGTACCTCTGATTTAAGCCTTCGTTCGAATATATTTCAAAATAGGTACCTCTATAGGAAGTACTGCAATTTCTTATAAAAAAAATATTACTAACAATGAAATCAAGTTGCTTAGTTTGCACGTGTAGCTCACGAAGCAAATTGAGTTTAAATCGCGGTGTGCAATTTTTTATCACAACATCTTTTTTTTAAAAATATAATTCATGAAACGTGATTTTCGTGCTTTCCACATGACAGAAATAAATCTGGGGAAGCACATCTCATCTCTACTGCTGAAATCTCGTAAGTAGTATGCATATATATATATATATTCGCAATTATAACGACTTAGCATCACTTTTTGGCTCTAACCTCTCTTTATCGGGAAATATTTTTTTGCATTGATAAATGATTGTGTGGTGTGCCCCCTCAATTCACTGTGAACGCTTTAAAATTAATTTTCAGTAATTTCAGATATAGAGAAGGTGGCAATCTCCACGGCTGCAGGAGATGATAAGGTACAAATCTCAGATTTTCTGCCTCAGGTGAGTGTCGATGCGTTTTTTTTTCTACTTTGTACAGTTATGCGATTGAATGCTTCCTTTTGTCAGCGTAATATGCTAGCCTTCTTCGTGAAGAGAAGATGTTGCCCATAACCCTGTATACCTAATTCCGTCCCTACAAGCTGCAAGCTTTGATGAAGGGAGAGTGGGTAATAGGACATTTTATTGGAAGAAGAAATGTGGTCGACTTCTAACCAATAAGATTGCGATTGGCTTCGTTGTATGTAGGGGATGGGGGTTTCTAAGCGCAAGAGATAACTTATTTGGAGATAATCGATAATCCTCCGATTTGTTTGTCTTTCTTGGAGAGGGGGGGGGGGTGAGAAGGGAGGAGGTATCTAAACATGTAAATAGTACTGGCAATTTTAGTTTTAAAATATTATATTGCATGGCAGAAAAATCGATTTTATCCCAGGTCTCGATTAAGGCAATGAACAGATAAGCAAAACTCTAAAACAGCCAGGTTCAATGACTAACTAAAACGTAATCATACAACATTCCCATTTTCAGTCTGCCACTCCACGAAACTCTGGGAACAGCGATTCATTTTCTGGTATTTGGAATATGATGAGTGGAAACAGTGGTAGTAGTGACAAAACTGTCTCTAAGGCTGTCGCACAGCCTCCTGTTCGAAGTACCAGCAACCATGCAACAGGACCTTCCTCCAAGGATACTTCCACAACGACGTCAGTTGGCTACCGTGGAGGAAGTAGTGGAGAAGCGACTACCCTCCAGCGACTACGAACACCCCATGACGCTTTCGTGTCTGTCCTGGTGGCTAGACAGAAATCTCTCACGACCGTCCGAATGCTCTGGCCGAGGGAAAACTTCAAGGCGTGTGTTGAATCAGCCATTCTTATGCAAGATCAAGCTGTCTTTGTAGATGTGTTGAGGGTTTTGCTGGTTTATAGGTAAGAGTTTGGTACAGTATCGCTAGAAACTCTGTCCTTCTCTAATATGTTATATTAATAGGGATCATGTCTCTCTCTCTCTTCAAATGCTATCTGCCTCTCCCTACTAGCATTTCCCGAAACTTCCCATACTATTCGTTTAATTATCCTATTTATTAGATAATAGTAGAAAATGGTGGGAAAGTAGAATAACCATTCCCCTTCTATTAACAATATCTAAATCACACGCGAGTGATGTGGCGTTGAGATAGCGGGAGCTTGTGTCTTAACAGCTTTGTTGGAGCATGCCCAAGTTTTTTCAAGAAGGATTTTCCACCCTTTTGATCGACCTCTATGTTAGCAGCCACATTCTTGTGCTTGCGTACTGCTCATGAAACTCTTACGAACGGGCGTAATTCTTATTCAGGTTCAATATGTTTTGGTTGACGTATTCTCTTTTGGAAGAGCACGCAGCCGTGCTACTTATTTGTGCATAAGTAATATAATGGTCCAAATAATTTTTTTCTCGAATAAATAGGGACAGACTTATCTCAATTCTATGGCATGAGGAACATCTTATTTTTTATGTTTATATACTTTATAACTTTTCATCAATCGCGAAGTTCGAATATGCCACTGTTATGATTAATGCTCGTAGTCATTTAGATAGATACGGTTTTCTATCTGAAGTGGTCATTAGTTATTTATTCAGGATCTTTGTGGTACTTACTGTTTATTATTCGATATCCAATTTTTTTCCCACATCGCTTGCTTATTGTTTCGCTTTTCCACTTTCGTAGCAAACAGTGGAGTCTAGATCTCGTTGCTTTACTCCTTCCACAATTGTCGAAACTGGTTTGGAGCAAATACCCTACGTGAGCTTCCTTCAAACTCTTGTCCAGTCAAAATCAGTTAATAAGAGTCATATGATTGACGGTTTTATTGTTTTTTCTTTTCAAGATATGTGGAAACAACATGCCAGGCTGTGAGAATCATCCTCAAAAACTTTGCCAATCTCATTCGCCAAACCATAAATATCGATTGTGCAATTGGCGTTGACATCTCTCGTGAAGAAAGGTAAGTTACTTTTAAAACTACTATTTATAATTCTGCAAGCAGTTATTAACTGATTATCTCTTGTAGAAAAGCCAAATGTCAGACTTGTGTTACCCATTTAGAGGCGATAAGATCGGCGTTCGAGATAAAGGAAGTTGTAGCAAAAGCTGGACAATACGGGCCAGAGGTGTTTGCCTTGTTCTCTCTACTTCAATAATGCTGACTTGTTTTGAGTTTGACCTCTGGACTGCATTTACAATCCACTTGATGCCTTCTCCTTCTCTCCCCCCCCCCTCCTCCCCCCGCCATCTTTCCTTAATACCTCACTACCGAGTGATAGATCTGTGTATATATATTTATATATACTCAAATATAAAATGAGTTGACTACCGAACTTAGTTTTTAGACCAGTGGCTTGTCTTAGGGAAAAGCTGTTTCTCAACAGCGCATCTGTTATTGTGTGATATCACGAATCTGAGGTGATCTAATGGCCGGAGGAAGCATGATATGCAAAAATTGAAAGCCGGTAAATGCGGCTGTTAATCGCAAGCATGGAACAGCTGTATTCATGAATTGAGCCATGGGTTTCTCGTGAAGTGAATGGCCAGGATCTTGGTAGACCACCCGATCATTCCTATTTGGTTCATTTGCAACTTCTTGCAGACACGTCAGAGATTAGTGGACTGAATTCCAAGGGAACTCCTATTACTTTACTCTCGTAATTGTCTATGTACGCATCCCGAAGATAGTCATTTAGATTCAACAAAAACAACGCGCGCTAAAAAAACTTCGGTGTAAACAATAAAGTTTGCGTCGTGATTAGGGTATCGGAAACTGTAATGAGCTCCGTCTTGTTGAAAGCATAAGTTTGAGCTATCCTAATATGTCATAACTTGGCAGCCAACAGACCTGTGACCTTAAACATGATAGTGATGATATCGCACCCAATTCAGCAGATTTGAACAGAATGAGATAAGACATACAGAGGTCTTAAAGGACAACAAAGACCTAAGAGCAACTACAATCATATCGGTTTCAATACCGAAATCATTAACGCCATATCTTATTTAAGTATACTAAATAGCGCAAATCAGCATAGTTTGAAGTAATGACCATTACACTAAGACACCCTCCTACATTAATTAACCACGGACTACGCAGGCTAAATAACTATCAATCCCAATAAGTGATATCCAACCTGAAAAAATCAGGCATCAATAGTCAGACGCACTTCGATAAATTCGCCCACACCACTAAACTCGGCCGAACCAAATTAAATCAAAGCCATAGGTATGCATAACTAAATACCACAATGAACACTAAACTCCACACAAAAAACTTGACACTAATGTGCAATGCAATAAAGAGAACATATCGAATTTACTCTAATCACATAACAAAGCATAAAAAACAATCAGCAGTAAATTATAGAATAGATTTGCAATCAGATAAGCACAAAAAAGTCATCGAAATTGAAGTTCTAAGCGATACCCGTTTCAATAAGACAGAGAATACCACTATACAAATTTATTCAGTATTCAAGACAATTACTTTATAGCAGCAAGGGCCTTTTTTGTTTGGAAAGCAACACTATCCATATCACGGCGACCGGAACGGGAAATCTCACGACCACTATAAGCAAAGATAAAATGAATTCAATGAATTAAAATTGAAAAAAAATTGAGTGGAAAGCTTACCCATCAGTTCGCTTTTCAACAATTCCTATGCTCTCCAAATCGCGGAGGCAACGGCGAATAATGCCTGTATAGGCATTAACGTGGTGACGTGGACTAACACCATAGCGTTTGCCGCGCCCAAATGCCTTGCTGAGACCAGTGATTCCGGTGGGCCTGAGATATAGATGACGCAAAATGGCCGCACATCTTACAAAATACCAATCGGGATCACTGGGAGCCAACTCGTTAGCAGTAGATAGTTTTACAACATCGACCCACTCAGGAGGTTGGACCTTGTTGGAACTGAATAAAGCAAAATCAATGGAGATACCAAATATTATGAAAGCAAACAAATAGTATCGGTCCATCACTTACTTCTTTAAGAACTTTGCCAAGGCAACTACATAAACGTGTCCATCGACATCTTTAACGGAGCAATGTGCCTAAGATATAAAATAAAATATAAGAACCAATTACCATCGCTATCACACTAAATGTCTCGCAAAGTGCGCACTAAGAAAATTAAACGACTCAAACAAAGAACAGACTTGTGCAAAATTTAAATAAAATATATTTACCTATATTATAAACACTGTTTAATATAAGATTTATGGCAATGTTTAGATGGACATGGGGTTTATTACTTTTAGGTATTTACCATGTAACCCACTTCGAAATACATGATCTAATTATTAAGAGTATTCTCCTTTTGAAACCTTAATAAAACATTCTGTAGAATGATTTAATTTTATTCAAATTTTACAAATCTTGTTTTATATCATTTAATGCTTTTAAAATTCTCGATGATCTTTTACTCTATTTTATGCGCTTTGCATTTGTGTAAATACTATATATACACAGGTCTGGTGCTTTTGTTATTGTTTTTCATCCCATTGGAGGGCCATAAACTTGATTAAGGTCAAGACTGAATTGTCTTAAACCGTGATAGGTATATATATGTTGAATAATTGTTGTTAACATCTAGATTGTCGTAACTCTTTAATTTCAAATAAGTTTCAAGTTGCATGTAGCGATGGATATCAACATACCGTTAAAAGGAAATTGTGAATTTAGACAACTCGGCTGAATTATTAGCTTAGCATCATTGGAGTTTACTATAATTGATATGAAATGCCATAAAAGTCAAATATATTTAGAATTTATTATAAAAATCACGAAATTCAATCCATATCTCCTGAACTTATTTTTATTTTCCCGATTTACATCTAAATATATGGGATTTAAAAGCCTTTTTCTTATATTTCGTTACAATTTCGTCAGTCGACTTTTTGCCATTTAACGAATACATACGTATGATTCGAATAAGTGTTTTATTGCTACAATTCGTCTTTACCAAATATTTTGTCAGCAATTAGTTGAATAACAATTCATATAGAGGTGTCCATCAAATTAATTTGCCTTTTATTATTCCCTACTCTCAAATATTTTTGTCGCCTTTATATCTGTCTGATTTCATTTTGAGATGGAAGATTAAAGATTGTTAATAATAAAGGCATAATTCAAAATCCATGTATTTAAGTCCTCACGGCTCCAAGTCTAACCTATCTCTAAAGCAATACCATCCATATCATTCTCGATAGACTTACCTCTATGTGGTACATCCTGGGCAACGTATCCTCAAAAGGCCGATCAAGTATAAATGGGCAACTGACTTTTAACTTCAAGCTACCATGACCCTACCATATGTCATATTCGATCACTTCCGTAGAACTCAACTCACTCTTTTCTCTACTTTTTACCTGTCCCCGTACAACTATGAATCACTCTTCTATTCCCCCTCTGGACATTCTTGTGACTTTGATGTCCCTCCATTCTTTGGAGTCCGAAGTCGACTAAAGGGCTAATGATGACTACCATAAAGATTGTCATTTGATATAAATCTTGCACCCTCAAGATCTCGATGAAATGAGTATTTAAGATTGGAAAGGAATTAATTTAGATGGAATTTAGATGGAATTTATTTATGGAATTTTATGTCCATCATCCCACTCATGAACGGGGTCTAGTGTTTCTTATTAACTGGACCGCGAGTATAACCTGAAATTAATTTATTTTCCTTAGAGATTTTAGCAACACTTGTAAAATCTGATTCTTCACTCATATGGAACAACTTTACCTCTTTAATTTATTATGGACTTTTGAGGCATTTCAAAGATGTCACACGGTTGGCGTGTGGTCACATTTAATATGTTCAAGGATCGACTAGCTAATTTAATTTATTATCCATTTTTATGGTGTCAAAATAAATTTTCAAAATTCTGCTCCATGTCCTTATTGAACCTATATGCCTTTTTCGAGTTTTCCGTTATTTCTTGCACCAATTTGGGTTAATGCAGGACAAACTATGTCCCAACTTTATCTGATTGTCTTCCATAAGGAAATCATTTTATCTTTAAATTTTTCAAGAGGCATTGACATGATAGATGTTTATTAGGAAGTCAAACCGAATATTTACCTTTCGCTTGACAAAAATCACCATATAATTTTCATAAACAGACTATTGATTAGTTTCCTACTCTCATACCTGAATATGCAATCCATCATTGATAAGCTTCGCCACCAGTTACCTCCTATTAAATTTTGTCTAAGTAAAGTTACTTTGTTTAACGGACTGCTTCTTTTACTCCCTTATTGAGTTTGAGTAGCTTAAAATTTAATAGGGTTTCAAAGTGGGTTGCGCAGTCACTTACCACCAACAGTTTTAATCCTTCAGCCAACATTATCGACTAAATTTTTCAAAGGCTCTGACAGAACACTGACAGTGGAAGTGTCTTTTCTATCCAATCAGATTTAATAATTTGTGAATAACCTCTCAAAGCAAATAAGCAATTTTAAACATGCAACAACTCTATAATTATAACTATCTCAGATATTCCATTTGAGATTTTTTCAAATGGCAGGCATTTTGATAGTTATCATTAGCCCTTCAGCTGACTTCGGGCTTCACAGAAGAGAGAAACGTTAAAAATGAGAAAAATTCGACAAGAGAAAAGAAGAGCGATTCACAGATGTAAAAGAGACAGACAGACACAAAGGCAGAGAAAAGGCTAGATGAGTACTGTGGATGGGGTCGAATATGACATACCATGGGGTCATGGTAGTTTGAAGTCAGAAGTCAACTGCCAGTTAATAGACTTTTTGCCGTAAGAGTATACGTTGCCCAGGGTGCACCACGTGGAGGTAAGTCTATCGCACACCCCCCAACTAGTGATCTTGGTTAACAAAGTGGATATATTTGT